TCAATTTGTAATGAAAATATTGCGAAATGGGAAATAAAATAAACAATGTTTATTGATATGTTTTGATTGAAACTTATGTGTCAAAATAATACTACCCAACCCATATACCCAAGGCAAAAACCTACTTTTGACCTTTTATTTTATTAAATTTGTAGGTTTTAATCCATCACCTTATACTATAACACTTTTAATCCCGAATCTATTAGAATTGAAAAAAATAACCTTCATTTTATAATATTTCGTTAATTTTGTTAATTGATTGTTAACTCTGTTAGCTGACTGTTAACTCTGTTAGCTGAAAATAGGTTTTGCAAACTAACAGTCAACTAACAGAATAGTTATGTTAACTGACTATTAACTTATTAGCCGAAAGTAGGTTTTTGTCAATTAACAGTCAGCTAATAATCAGCTAATAGAATTAACAGTTAATTAACAGAACTAACAAAATGTTATAAGTGAGGGCTATTTTCTTTAATTCTAATAGGTGATGGGCTAAAAGTATCATAGTATAAGAAGGTAAGTGATTAAAACTTATAAATTTAATAAGATAAAAGACTAAAAATAGGCTTTTGCCTATATCCAAATACCTTATTATATATTTATAATATTATATATATATATATGAATGGTACCATCGTGTACTAATTAGATTTCGTTACCTATTATCATATCAGTACCAACATGGTAATTTTTTGCCATCATGATTGCTATTGTGTTAGGAACACAATTCTCTGCTTTTATCCGACTTAATAAAATTAGATTCAACCCAAAAATTTGTTCTACTCCATTCACCATGAGTAAGGTTATGTGTTTAAGTCTTAAAGGTATAAATTTAGAATCATATATAACCCAGACCAAAACTATTTGAGTCTAATTGAATTGAGTCAAAATTTAGTTGAATTAATTTAAAGTAATCTAACTAAAGTTAATTAATTTTTTAAAATTTTAATTTTAATTATACTTTTAACTTATAGTTGTATATTAATTTATATATTTTCAATATAAAATTTAATAAATATATAAATAAATCTATAAGTATACCTATATCTAACAAATTAGATAACAATATAAATTTTTAATACTCAAGTAAATATTAAATATTAAAATCTTATACATGTCACTATTTAAGTCAATTACAAATGTAAGCAGATACTTGAACCATGCCTACCCATGCTCATCCCCATGCACTTGTACTTCCTCTGAGCTCTGCTCTGTATTAATTGTTGCTGAGTTTTCCTAGGCTTCCATTGAAATTCGGTTGTGGAGTTTAATGTGATTTTATTTAATTTTGGTTAATTATTACTGTTTTGTACAATCTTTATTATATAACTGTTTAAGCTTTTAGATTGAACAATTTTTCACAAATATATAAAAAGAAAACTTGTTATTCAATGAGAAAAAAAAAAGAAAAAAATTGGAGAATGTTGTTTGCAACAAACAATTCTATAAGTAAAAAAAAAAAAAAATTCAATTTGTAATGAAAATATTGTGAAATGGCAAATAAAATAAACAATGTTTATTGATATGTTTTGATTGAAACTTATGTGCGAGAATATATAAATTTATATTGTTATATAATTGTTTACACCGTAAATTGCAAAATTTTAAAATCAATCACATGTCAAAGATTTTAAAATGGATGGAGGAGATTTTGCCACATCAGATGTGCAATTCTGAGCCCATGATATATTAGTTGTCACTTTGAAAGAAATGAAGTAAAAAGATAAGATTTTATCCTTTAATTACCTTTTAAAGTTAAAATTAGGATTGTTTTAATTGGAATTTAAGAAAAGGTGTCAGTTCTAGGTATGGGTTATTAAATAAAGAGAATAGGTGGCAAAATCTATAAGACAATCTGACATTGTCAACTGTTGAGGTATCCCACTATATCAAGAAATTGCCCATGATTTTTGAAATAGTAGAAAGTGGGAAGTAACTACCGACAAAAGGAGAAGAAAAAGGAAATTATGGAAGAGAGAACACACGGCCAACTCTACTCAAAACCTGCAAATTTTCAAACTTTCATTCTCTCTACAACTGCTTATAGATTACGGATTTCAGCATAATTTCCAATAGATCTAGGTTGTTTTTCATTATTCCAGTAGTCAAATTAATTAATGTATTCGCTTCAATAATTTCATTTCATATAATGAACTTCAAGCTTTCAAATTTCTTCAAGGTACTATTCATGTTCTATCTGTAATTAGTTTAATATTTATGATAAGTAACGTTTCTTCAAATGATTACTTATATGGCGATCACGCTTCTTCTCAACTTCAAGCATATTAATTTAATTCATGTTTATGTTTGTTTTAGTATTAATTAGGGTAAAATCTTTAATTCTACAGCAGTTTAATTTTTAGATCTATCAATAAATAGTATTTTTAATTTGACAATGAACATGCTTAATTTAATTTAGGTGCATTTTATTCTCGTAAATTTATTTTAAATTGCATGCTATTTAGTTTAATTAGGATTTGTTAACTTTGATTTACGGTAGTGTTTAAATCCTTAGAATTATTCAAGGTAGATTCTGTAATCCATTTCGCTGAAAGGCATCCCTCCCTTTTGCAAATCATCTATAAGTGTAGATTTTAACTTTAAACCAACGTTCTTCCTATAATTCGCAAGGAAATCGACCAGGTGAAAAGAAAGGGTTGTTGGAAAAATCCTTCTTTCTTATTTTCAATAAAACAAGTGACACATTTGCATTTAAATTCTGCACGTGTGATGCCACTAAAGGATTTTTAGAGAAACAATAATGTTCTTAAAATATTAATTAAAATTTAACGATTTTAGGATGCACATGCATGCAAATCACTTTTTCTTTATTATATGTTAAGTTATAAATTTGAATATGTGATTTAAGTGACTTAATAATTCTTTTAAATAGAAAATAAAAATTTCTAAATTTGAGATGGTGATCTATTTATATCAAAGTAGAGAGCCAACATTCATTATTATGTTTTGAAAGATAGTCTTGGAAGCAAATGTATTCGTCT